CCTCAAGTGCTTTCAGTGGCTAAAGTTCTGTGACATATTCCTGTACCGACCACGTGGTAGAAGAGAAACACAGTGTTCCGAGCAGAGACATACATGGCGCTTATGTGGCCAACAACATTTTAATAATGACTGTCGTGTCGTTTTTCTCCAACTATATCCTCTCCCAAAACTCCTGCAGACTGCCTCACATTACATCCAGACCACACTGGCATTTTGAAGATACAAGGGCTTTATCTTAGTCTGCTTTGAAGGAAAGAAAACGAATGCTACATGTTATTTTTTAAAAAATTAATAGAAGCCAATTTGCCACGAGAGTTTTTTTGGCCACTTTGCTAAAAAATGATTTAAACTTTCAAGAATTCTTGTCCCAAGCAGAGGCCCAAAGGTGTATTAAGTTTGGCCTGGCTGACAAACCTTGGTGAATGATTAACCACTCCTTCCCTGTGGAAAGGCTGGGACTATTTAACAGACTGGTTGCTGACTTTCCCTCGTCCAAAATGCCTGATGGTTTGTTTGAGAAGACGAGAGGTAAAGAAGGCCCAGGCGAGCACAAAACGACACCCTGCCTGGTAAAATGAGACCGCCGCGACCCATGGACAACTCCACCCCTTTGTCTAGACAGGAGACACAGAATCATTCAAGGGCAAGTTTTCAAAGTAGACAAAATGCTCATTTGTTTCTGGATAAATAGCTGGGACTTCCACTTGTTCGATATTTGGCTGTAATAAAAGGAAAAATGGTTCTCATTTGCCTGTTTAGACTCGGAAAGAAAGGCTTGCCCTCCTCGTGGTGACTGGTCTGAGACCAGCTGAAGCAGCCTTATCCTCTGAGACCCAACCTCAGAGCCGGCTTCATGGGTGTGTGACTTGTGAGGAGCCACACTACTCCGAAGGCCAGTGCCTGGGGTTCATTGCTGCGCACTTGCTGTCTTAACATTCTTCAGATATTTATCCTTGAACTTGGTAAAGGAAGTCTTATGGGACAGTGGAGCACGTGGAAGGGGCGGAACCTCGGCTCACATGTAGTTCCCAGTCCCGCTTCCTTGCTGGCTCCCCAGGACGGCCAGGGCCAGGGTCGGGCACCTGGCCTGCAGCATTTCAGGGCCAAGAAGGAAGCAGCTATCTCCGCCTTGGGTGTGTTTCATGGGCAACCTAGCAGGAAGTTCAGCCCCCTCAGATGCTGAGCACCTTAGAATGGAGGTGATAATCCTTTGATGGGGGTTAGGCCACCCATCCACTGAGAGTTGGGGCGGGGAATTGATTTTCCTGTCCCTGCCAGGGGTCCTACATTCTCATTTTGCACTGGGCTCCACAAAGTTTGTAGTCGACATTACCTAAGCTGATCACCAACAAACAGCTCTGGGTTCCATAGAGCCTTCTGGGGCCTGAGGGCAGCTGTCAACATTCAGTAGCCATATGTGTCCCTGTCTGGAGCAGAGTGAAAGATCCATCTGCCTCTTAGAGTCTTTCCCTCCACTGTAAAATAGCATAATATACATATAGCAGGTATTTGCTGTGTGACATGGTATAAATTACTTCACTTTTCTGGGCCTCAATATGTTGCTCTGTCATGTAAGAATAATGCTACTACTACCACAAACATAAAATGAGATAATGCCAGTAAGTACTTGCCATAGTGTCAGGGACATAGTAGATGTTCGGTGAATTTTAGTTGCTATTATTATTGTGATTATCATTTGCTACAGATTCTGAAAGCAATTGCAAAAGTATTTTGATTAATACTTTGAGGGACACACATTCTAATAAATTCATTTGAAGTTTCAGTCTCTAGTGTCCTTAGTGTCTTGCAAATTCACAAGACATTTTCGAGATGAGAGCGGAAAGAAGTTCAGATAGAGAAAAATTATATAATGAGAAGGGATGTTGGCCTTGCCCACCATAATGGCACACCCTGAGCAGCTGTTTAACTGTCAAGGTGTACACAGGTAACAGTACCTCACTTTCTGTTTTAGCGGAATGAATAGGTGCAGGAGGTTGACTCATGGGGAAGTCAAAGTATATAATGTGATTCACAGACCACCTGTCTCCAGCAGTGATGGGCTGGTGTTCTCAGCACCATCCTTCTGTGAGTGACTGTCACCAATGCCATTGTTCAATAAAACAGAGCAGTAGCTTGCTAACTTAACGCAGCCTGGTACTCCTGTGGAAATATTCTAATGTGCCGTTGGACTCCCAGGAAGTGAAGAAAAAAGCTGTTTCACTGCTCCATCTCTATTATTTTCATAAGTAGTTATTATTTTCATAAATATCTTGAGCACTAGCTTCCTACCAGGTGCTTTTTATTTTCTCTCTAATCTTTATAAATATCAAATAAAGCAACTATGCCTGCTTTCTAGATAAGAAAATTTGAAGCTTAGCCAAGTTAAATGGTTTAACCAAGACTTTCTAGTTAGATATTGAGAGAGTCAGGGTTTAGATCCAGTTGTGTCTGACATCAAGATTATGCATTCTCTTTTAATTGATCACAAAGCCTCTCTCTTAGCTATAGCAAGTTAACTCTTAGTAGAAGTAATAACAATAGCAAACACTTATGTAGCTTTAACAGGTGCTGTTCTAAGTGCTTAACATACATTGACTTATTTAATCCTTGAGACAGTTCTATGCAGTAGGAGTTACTTTGCCCATTTTACTAGGGAAGAAACTGAGGCTCTGGGAAGCTAAGCAAGCTTGACAAAATCACACAGCCAGTAAGTGACAGAGCCAGGCTATAAATAAAATGTGATGTGGCTTTAGATTCTGTGGTCAACCAGTAGGCTAAGGGGTCAGAGCTTCTGGAATTATTTAAAAGTGTTAACTGAAAAAGTTTAATTTGACTTTCTAAAATAATATACCAAGACATATACATACAAATGAGTGTCTTTCAAGGTACTAGCCAAAATGTTTTTGCAATTTCTTTCACAGCCAGAAGCAAATAGTAATAATGATAGTAATATAAATAGCAGCTAAATTAATTTTACATTTATTATGTGCCCAGTACTCTGCCATATTTTTTAAATATGTCATCTCATTTAATGTTTATGATAGTAGTATCAACACTCCATAGGACAGAATACATTATGAAACTCAGAAAATTTAAGTAACTTTCTCCATGTCACAGCATTTATACCATGGCTAAACGTGAACTATCTGAATCCATAATTCATACTCTTCACTACTAAACTAATGCTTCATTTTAAAAGATATTTTCAATGATGGAAAACTTTATCATTAGAGAATAGACTGGACTTGTAAAAACCAGCAGAAGTTATTTGTGGCTAAGCTCTAAGTTTTGTGAATTTCAGGTGCTTGAGATTAATTTTCCATTAAAACTATCATTTAAGGAAAATATAGACCGATTTTCTCTTGTGATCTATAAATTATCTGAAATCAGTCCCCCAAAGACAGACCAATGCACGTTTGGACAATGGCAGCATCGTGGTAATTAGTCTTTCAAGGTAATGACTTTGGAGAGATGTTCTTACTTACAAGCTTATTCATGCTCTGTATTTGACACTAAGTATTAACAGTGAAAGTGAGAACCATGTGCTTATCATGTGCCTACGGGGCTTATGGCTGCATGCTTGCAGACACTATTTAAACATCAGGGGAGGCACTGAGGGTACCACTCTGTCATTCCTATTGCCAGGAAGTTTTTTCCTCGTTGGCAACACTTTTCTTATAGGGACAATTTGCATGACTTTTAATGCATAGTTCCAGAGAATCTAATTGTATGGGCTTCAATCCCATACTGTGAATAGTGACTGTGTGAGTTGGGGACACTTATTGAACTTGTGTAGGCAAACAGACCCCCTAAGTGAGTGAGGAACTTGACAAATCTCCATTTCCTTTGGTTCTATACAGGCCAAGATTAACTAATCCATTCTTTGTTTTTCTAAGACTTGTTGTAGATTGCAAATAGCATTTTCCCCCTAAATATAGCTCAAAATTGCTTTTAACTTGATATATATCTCAAAATTAATTTACTTAAGAGCTATGAGAATAACTCAGTCAGCCATTCTTGGTAAAGGAATTACTGCAGTAGGGAAGAGGGGTAAGAGGAGAGAGGAAGAAGGGAGGAGAGAGGTGAGAAAAGAGAAGAGAGAGGTGGCTTTAGTGCACATTTTTAGACTGCAACTTGTGAGAGATGACTCCCCTTGTATTTTGCAGTATGCTTCTCTAAGCAAAATTTCCTCTCCAAACTCAGAAAGAAAACTCCATGGCATGCATAAGAAACAGCCACCTCCTACTGCTCCGCCCTTAGCTAACTCACTCTTTTCTAACAGTTACAAGCAAGTTTGTTGGACTACAGCATTTCTAGAACATCCAAAACACATGCTATACTTTTCTCCTGGCAAAATCTGCCAGCCAAATAGGTAACAGTCCACGACGAAAGTTGAAATTTGGAAGTGACAACAATTAGAAGTAAAACTTGTATATTTCCTAAAACTCACTTTCTTCCCCCAAAATACTTTTCATATAAAACCCTTCTATTGAGAACACAGCTGCTTGGAGAAAAAGCACTCAATTTGGATGGCAAGACCTCTCTTAGAACAGGGAAGAAAATAGGCAGAGATGATCATTTCTACCTTGAAATGAGAGAAATGCCAGTTACTATAGAGCAAACATGAAAACCTAAAGGTAACATATTTTTCACCAAAGGAAAAATGAAAGGACTTAGGAAAATATGTCATAATGATTGAGACTCAGAAAATAACAAAATAAACAGTGGGTAACTATAGAAAGCTATTTCTTTTATAAGTAATAATAATATTCACTGTGTCTGATATCATACTAACTATTTAAGAAATTATAGGAGGAAAAAATTCCCTGTTTTATAGAAGAAGAGCTGAGACCCACAGGAGCAAGGTACTCAGAGTAGTGCACCCCATATCAAAGTGGCAGAGCCGAGATTAGGCCCCAAGACCAAATCCTGGGCTCTTCACCACTCCTTTGTAGGACTTGCAAGAGCATCTGGGAATGGCCGGATGGCTTTCTGATTACCATGGCTTTGTTGGAATGGCCACCTCCTTGGAACTCAATGGTCCCAAAAGCATCTGTCGGGCTGAGTTGAGTGTGTTTGCTGATGGACCACTTCTCGGACTGGATGTCATTTCTGGAGAGGCGACTTTCATTTTTCTCATTCTGAAGCACAGAGATACTGGGAGTGAGGCCAACATGCTGGCCTATCAGACGCCCACAGCAGCACCTGTAACAGAAGAGGCAAAAGTGAACTCCTGGTATTAGCCACAGCTGGAATTGAAGACAACCTGCTGGAGAAATCTATAGAAATCTGAGCCATTTCAGTCAACTCTTAGGTGAAATTCCCTCATGTGGCTGTTTAACAGGCAAATGGTAAACTCAGCCTCTCTGTGACATATGTATCCTTCCTTTTCTCCTCCCTCCCCATTTTCCTTTAGCCGTCTAAGCTGGGACATGCATCCTGCCCTTCCCCACCCACTCCTTTTGCACCTGGCATGTTGTTCAGGATTGGATACCTGCAAACAAAAGGTCTCTGGATTTTTCTACTTCTTACTCCTCCTGTCTATCAAATATTGCACAAAGGACACTGAAGAGCTTCAAGGGAAGAACTTTAACATGCACATTTAAATGAGGAATCTCACTTATATGTGAGTCACCACCAAACTTGTCTCTTCCCAATTGACATTTGCTGTCAAACATCCAATTCTGAGAATAAAAATCTGCAGGCTTAAGGGTTCTTGAAGAAACAATGAAAAAAAAATATTCACAAGATATTTGAAAACTCAAACTTTGCTCCTTCTATCATGAAAATGTCCTTCATACATTACTACTACCACTATTATGACTATTAGTAATAATAGTTATAATATACAGCTACAATTTATTAAACACTAACAATTTGGCATCCATTTTATGGATGAAATATTGTGATTTTTATTGAAGGTTAGGTAATTTGCTCAAGGTTACACAGCTAGTTTCAAAAGCTCTATAGTTTGTATGTTAAACTGCTTCATTAAATTGCCTGTTCATAAAGGCAATGCCAGACATACATATACAACTATATCATAAATGCTTCCCATCTTATATCTTGTTGATCTTCAGGAAGGTAAAGAATGAACTAGAAATGTGCTTGAATGGGCATCTTAAAGTCTATAGTCTAGTGAATAATCTGCTAGAGGTCTTTTATTTAAAATTCTCTTTTTGCCTACAGAGGATGTTGGTACAAATTAAGCATTTGGATGAAATGCTTAGAAGAGTAAACCAGCGACCATAACAAAAAAATATAACACACCATTATATACGGTGATTAATTCCTTCTGCAATGGTGTATGTGCTATGGGCTCTTAGACTAAGCCTTAACTGTAGGCATGGCATACATATTACATACTGTGTATATATAAGATTACTTCAAAGATGCTCAGCAACAATAAAAAAAAGATCTTTAATTTGAGTGTTTCAAGTTAAAGTGTTTCCCTCGCAACAGGACTTACTCTTGCAGTTTATTCCTATAATCACTGCTTCATGTTCTCAATACATTAGAGACAGCAAGATTACCTATGGGGGTCTTTGGTGCTGGGTATGATGTGAACACATTCTCTTTTATAAAATGCTCTTTCTATCCAGGATTTCTGAGCCTGAAAAAAAAAATAAAAGAGGAAAGGTGAACATAACCTCTAAATGTTTTTGATTAGAAAGCAAAATTTCATAATCATATAATGACCTAGTATATCATAAACTGAATTGAAATTGTGATTATTTCACACATAAACACTGCATATAATGAAATTGATTATTCCCAGAATCTGCTGATTAGGTTATTTAACATTCTAATATTGAAAGTTAAAGGAAATGACCATAATAAAAAAAAATGTCAGTGATGGAATCATACACAAATTCATAATGATTTTTGAAGGACAGAAAGACAATGCTATTTGCAGAGAAAATAAATTTGGAAGGATAGAATAGTATGTTTATAACCTTAGAGAAAGCAAATATTCAGTAGTGGGAAGAAATACATCTAAATAAGTACAAGGTTTCATGGTTGACACGTCCATTCGATTTTCCTTGTAGAAGGAAAGAAAAATTGCAGGAGAATTGCATAACTCAAAAGCCCTAATATATCACCATGATTTTTTCTAAAATCCAAATTAGCAGTGCTCAGGTACAGAGGGAAAAGAAGGAAATGGAAACATAAGGAAGATAAATGTCTTTTTCATAGTCCAAAATCTCACAGGTAATGTCTTTAGAAGGAAGAAAGATAGCACATTTTTTTCTGTTTGCATCTCGCATGCCTTTAAGCAAAGCATATACAACTCCCTAGAATGGGCATTGCTGGGACTATCCTCCCAGAAGCGCCGCCACTGAGATTAGATTCCCACACGGACAAAGGATGCTCCAGCAAACTGTTTGCTCATTGTTCCAAAGCAGTGTCCATCTTGCACCCCTCGCCCCTTCCTTTACCACACCTGAAATAGCGGAGGAGTCTCCCATGAAATCCAATAAACTGCTCAAAAGATTCCTTCTCTGAACACTTGAGATGGAAATTGCTAGAGCAACCTGTAATGTTATTTCTATGTGGTATCATCTCTGTAAGCCAGCATCAGTACTAAATTTGTATTCTCAAAATCTACGTAGGGCTACAGCACAGTGGAACTGTTTCTTTGGTCTGTCCCGATGGCCGGTGTTAACTGTTACAAGCCCCCATTTGTTGGCCATAAGTGGTCTTGACTCTGCCAATGACTCAAATATCTACAAAAGCTGTGCTCAGCTCCCTCATCTCTTCCCTCCCTCCTCTCTCACAATGGATGTCTGTGCAAGTGTTTGGCCCTGAAGGTCGCAGTTGTCTAACAGTCATGGCAATGCACATATCACAAGTAGCAACATGAGGGATGGTCAAGGGGCACCCTGTTTCAGTTGTGGTCACAATCGGGTCCATAATTTCTGAATGTTCATGGATTGTCCCCAAGAAAAGGAGCACTCAGTCTGCCTTGGAGATCCTCAGGTCCAAGTGGGTCTCTGCATTTCATACCACAAAGGTAACATTTGCAGTTTTATTTGTCATGAAAAAAAAAAAAATCCCAACGTCTATTCGCAAAGATTTTTCTTTTCAAACCTAGAAAAAACTAGTGGCTATATCTTTGCAACAGAAATGAGCTTAGCAGCATAGATAACCAATCTTTATCTTTGTAAAAATCCTGTAAGCTAAACTATTCATAGGCTGTGATTTTCTCTAGACACTGAATACTTTCATTGATAATATCTCTTGGCAGAAAGACGGCAAAATGTTCCTCACTGGACATCTGAAACCAACTTTTCCTACACCTTGGGGAGTGAAAAAGGGAGAATGTGCTTTTCTTTCTGTGTCCCAGTTTGGCCAGTATTCAGAAAGATCTTTTAAGGGAGCACCTGGGAATTTTAGGGAGCGCTGACCCATACTCCTTGAGAGAAAGCGGGAAACACTGTATCATGGATACAGTATGAGGTTTGCAGTTAGAAAAAGTGGTGTGAATGGGACTCTGTGGCTTGCAGAAAGTCACATCACTTCTTGGATCCTCAGTTTTCCTCATCTCTAAAATGGGCACAGCAGTAGTACCTAACACATAGTGTTGTTATTGTTTTGGCAGCTCCACACTTACACTCCAAGAAGAGGGACCCTCCCTGCGTCGATTCTGGTACTAAAAGTTTGGATGAACAGTCAGACGAGGGAACTATGAAATTGATGTAGCAAACCTGAACTAAACTGATCTTCCTTTGTGTTGGAGATAACAGGTGCCCAGAAGGCCTGGTTGGCCACTCACAAGGAATATAGAAAAGTTGTTTAATTTCTCTGAACCTCTTCTCTCACATGTGGATAATCATAGTTACTTTGAAGAGTTGTTGTGATGATCACACCAGACCATTCAGATAAAGTACCTGGCCCATAGCAGGAGCTCAGCAGGTGACAACAATGGTTAACATTGAGTAAGGGCACACCCTGTGCTTGGAGTTGTGCCATACGTGTATTAGCTGCATGCATCCTCGTAGGAACTCTGTGGGGGAAGCACTGTTATTGTATCCATTTTATGATGGATAAATGAAGAAATGAAGGCAGAGAGGTGCAGCAAGTAAGTTTTAAAGCCAAGGTTGGAAGTTGAGCGGTCTGACACCAGAGTGCACACTCTTAACGACTCTGCTAAACTGCCCCTCCACGTTAGGTGCTATTGATATGAAATACCTTTGGTAAGCTCAATGCTATCCGAGCATGCCTGTGAACACCTTGGCATTTGGACAGAGTTGGACTTGTCTTAGAGCTAGTTCACACTTGCATCTTTCTCCTCATTCATTCCCCATTTCCAGTCCTCAATCGTGCATTAATGAACACTCTGTCATCGGTTCTTCCTCTCTCCCTGGGGTAAAGGATGAGGCTGGGACCTCAGGAAGACATCAGACTAGGACAAAGAATTAAAGCCATTTTGATGGCTACAGCAAAGAAATGTAATCACAGGACTCCTAATTTTAGGAGTCATGGGAGGCCATGACAAATGGATTAAACTTTTCAAGGACACCTTCCTTATTTATCTTGCTCATGGATCCCAGCGTCCACTTGGAAGGCCCTGGAAGTTTTAGTCAAATGGTGTATGGTAAGAATTACTACACATGGATTGCCAACTTGTTTGTTAGCCTTTAAATATAAAGTAATTTGACTTGTGTACAGTTAGGCAACTTAATTACCTTCTCAAAGGGGAAAAGCTACCTCATTGTTAGCAAAAAGATTGAGGATCCAGTTTCTATTTCTTCTTATTAGCAGATTAACCATTTCCCTTGCTAAGGCACAGGAAATTGGGAGGGGAAAAAAAAAGAGAAACATAACATTAAAAAATCTTTCCATCAGTTATAATTAAATTGGATTCCTTTTTTGAGAAGGAAAGTATAATATATAATAGAAAGAATGCACGTATAGCATGTGAATTAGGAATTCTACAAAATAGCATGTGTAATTTTACTATGCTCTAATGTGGTCTTTGCTTTAGTGTGCTTTTATTGAGATCTTTAATCTGTGGGAACAGATAATAGATTTTTTAAATTACCTTCTTCGAGAGGACATATCTGATGCATAATCATGGTTTAACTTGTTCCCTTACCTGATTTCCTTTTCTTTTGTTCAAAGACTTTGAACTACTCTGCATGAAGTGTTATACTTTGCTTCAACATCCAACCAAGTGAGTCCAGAATGGTTATCCTCATTATTAGAAGGCATGAAATAGTTTTGACATGCTGTGTTTCTAGCTGACCCTTTCATTCTCTCCAAATACAAAACTTTAACAGACACTGTGTCCTCAAATCTTTTCTTTTAAAATATGCTTAGAAAGTCTCATGTACTCTTAGAAAAGACAGCTTCTACAGCTCCTAGAAAATCACTTTTGCATGTTCTTTTCTAAAGGTAGAATAACCACGATGGAGTTTGTGAAGAACTGCTTTCTTTCCTGTCTGTCTGCATTATCGGTCAAGTGTGATGTGTAATAGGGAAATGTTTTTCAAAGGCTAATAATTAAAAGACATCATATTCAAAACAAAAATGAGGACACTCACATTGAACAAAGTATAATGATTACCCTTGAGGAATAAAGCAACCACTAATTTTGAAAGTTAAATATACAGTCAATAAAAGATGAAAATGATAGAAACAAAAAAAATCTATAAATAATGCTTTAAAAAGAAAAACAAGTCAATTCATTTAAACAGATTTCAACTCTTTTTTTACAAAGTTTCTGCCACCAATGCTAGTCCCCAAACTACTTTGAACCTTCTTACTATGCAGTCCCCACCAGCTACAGAATCAAGAACTTCTCTAGGTAGGAAGGGTTTACAAGTACATACACAGAGCGTGTGTTAAACCTGTCTCCGAAAAGCCTTGGAAAGTGCTACTGCAATCCCCTCTTTAGCAGGGCAAGTTAACAGAAGGAGAACAAACCAGACTAGTAATCGCAAGGTTAGAAAACAGAGTCCACTAACTTTATAGGAACAAATTACAAGAAACATTTCACCATGCTTCTCATTGCCACACTCTCTTGCTTCAAACGTATACCCTGTCTTCATCAGAACAAAACACCAAAGACCCAAAGGTACTGAATGCATATGTTCATTTTGCCCTTTCCCCCAACACCTCGGTTGGTGTTGGTCTTTGGTCTTTCTCTGGGCCCCCAGATCCAACAATGAGAAGTCGAACAAGAGAAAAGTTAGCTGAAATCATTTTACCTGACCACTCACTCTGGGTGCTGGCAAAGGCAGTCCCGGGAGCAGCTCCTGTTGCTTTCATTTTGCTGCGGCTGGGCTGGCCATCCCGTTAATAATGCTCTTATGACCGCCCACTGGAAAAAAAGTCACTTGCCAGGCTCTTCCCCCAAGAGACGTTTCAAGTAAGCAATGAACTTGGGCAGATTAGCCCCTTGGAATGTGCTGCTTCGGGATTAGCCTCACTAAGAATCCCATGGACATTCCCTCCCAGCCCTCAAACACTGCTTGATTTGAACATCTAATCTGACGCCAGAAGAAAAACAAATCCCCGGAGAGATCGGATTTAACTGGCACAAGTCCTAACAGGCTCCCCCCTCCCTTTTTCTCTTTCCATTTTCAGAGAGAAAGCTTGTGAAAGTGT